CTCCCGCCAATTCAGGGCAATTTGGAGAGCCCCCCTTGTTAACATTCCAGGACTACACCACTAATAGGCCTATAAATTTCACTTAAAGGGCCCTACAGTCATTTTTTAGTCGAAAGCCACCTTAAGTAGGGGACTCCACAGAGATTCGTTTGGCTGTATCTTACATGCAGTATCCATGAGTATGAGTACTTTCGCACACAGAAAACGCATGCATACTGTGGTGCGCATGTCAAGTAGCGACAATAACAAAAAATGTAAACAATCCTTACTTGACTAAAAAATTACTGTAGGGCCCCTTTAAAAAAAAAATATTTCCAACCATCAAGTGAGAAAAAAAAAATATTTCTTCTATAGGTGTACAAAAAAAATAAATATTGCCTCTTAGAAAATCCCCCCCCCCCATCACTTTTCTAATGGTCCGTCCCTAAGGTGCTGCTATCTTGTAACTTTTCCTGAAACCTACTTTTCCTGAAACCTACATCAAGGTGTGTTAAATTTCGACATCTACAATGCCCTTTAACCTATCCAACAGATGCCTATTTGCGAAGGACTCACCTGATTCAGACAAACATGAAAACTTGATTGACGAGCAACCGTCAGGAGCAGGGCAGTGAGTTGGCTTATTGACAGCATAACTTTTCTCAAAATCACCAGTTACTTTAAATACAAATCTGCATTTCATACACATGAATTCCTTTTCCCACTCGACCAATTTTGCACTAGTTACACGAGTCACAGTACCTAAAGAATTTCGATTTTATTAATATTTATATTATTCATTTACAGTTTTTGGTATATATCTCTCCTTATGAACATATTTCGAATAGGTACACGTCTCTAATAGGCACCTCCCCAGACAGTTTCCCATGTGACCGTGCAAGGTTGGTGATCGTGCTAGTTGAGAGTCCATACGTTTCTAGAGCTCTGCACTTATCTAGAACAACGCCACTTTCTGGGCTCCAATTCCAACTTCTAGAAAGCATTCAGCCATTTACAGATCATGAGCAAGTTTTCTATGACAAGTTTTATCTGCTCGTCTGTACAGGCAACTCTGCCTATTTTTTCCATGACAAGTACACTTGTTCAATAGCAGCTAGCATCCTAGCTTTAGTGTATATGTCATGGGAAAAATTGGCAATTTGAAAGTATAAAATGTTGCTGGTGTGTACGACTCAACAAAGAAAATTTGGCTGAAAGTAATTTGAGCACTTGCATGCTGGTCAGCGATCTATAAAATAAATCAAGCACAATAATGTTCGAAACACAATAATGTGAATTTCCTGGCAAATTAACAAGCAAATGCCGTCTAGACTGTATTTTTTTGTTGTGCACGCGATTTTAAGATCTTTTATTTAAAAAACTAATTATTATGTGTGCATTTTGCAAAGAACTAAGTTATAGTCTGGAGGGAGTGTACATGTGCTTCTTTATTGTGAAGGGGGGGGGGGGGTTACTTAATGTCGCAGGGGGCAAATAGAAGTTACACAGCTGATCAAAATTGCACTGATTGATGGTACTGTTTTGACATCTGCTGTGGAACAACAAGTTATTAATTCCTCTGAAAAATCTGCTATCCCCGGCCTTCCAAGTAAGGAACTATCTTCCACAAGTTTGTTGCTACTGTACAGTACATGGGAAATCATAGAGGAAGAACACAGTACACTCGGATATATCATGCACCAGACTGGTTGGATTGGGGGCAATTAATTTTAAGGGTTTAATCAAATATGACTAGGTAAGTTAATAACACTGACAAGAACAATGGGCATTGATCATTGCCTAGGTTTTACTATCATGATAGCAAAACTTGGTCAGGGACTGTGGAAGTAGGGTGTTGGCTGGGGGCTTCAACTCCCCAATAAATCAATAATAGTGCCCTACCCAGGTTTTCCTGTACTGCAGGTTTTTTCCTGACCTCCCTGATTATCCAGCCATAGCATAAGTGTTTGTATCTCGTGGACACCATATATCTTATTTGCGCAGCACGCCATCACTACATACAGACACTTCATGCAAATATAAATATCAATTACAACTTTATTAATGAACAGATTACTATAAACCACACATCTGTACCATACTATAAATACTTCATATTAACGATATATTTATAATTTTTTCCCGACCAACATGCTTCACGTGGGGGATCTACACTTTGTTTCGATCAATGGCGGAAAGTGGTGTCCACACGGCCACACTTCGCCCACGGTGAAGCACACGCCGGCAAAAGAGAGCAAGGTTCATACCTTACCCTCATCCTGATCTTTGCATCTCTCGGTCACTTCACCAAGGGGGAAGCTGGGCTCGGACATGAGATTCAATGTCCATAACGGTGAGGGCCCTCACTCTGATGTTGTTTCTCCAGCTTTTCTGGGGGCCCTTACCCCCAAGAAACCACACTGGATTTGCGTGATTTATTAAACAATATTTTTCAGTTAGAAATGTGTTTCAGGCAATATACACATGGTTAATTTAACAAAACTATTGTGAGAAATAGTTGGAAATGCACTTTCCAGGCTTTTCTGTTGGGGCATGCCCCCAGATCCCCCTAGGAAGGCTTGCAGCAAAGCCACAAACTTATTTTATCTCAACACCACCCCCATCCCCAATTGTAACATCATGCAGGGACCCTGTTGATATGCCTGTCTCAGATATAACAGTGAACTTACCAGTGAATGCCAATAGTCTTCCAATATCAGATGACCTTGGAATTGTTTTGCGTGTTAGTTCAGGACATGTTGGCAGATTAGAAAGTCTTACAAAGGCATTTTTCTTTAATTTCATACTACCAACTAGTCTGTGTTCCTCATAGAGCAACCTTAAACACTCTCTTAATGCTTGATGACATACAGGCAGCATCTTCCTTGGATTGGAGATAAGTAGTTGACTCACTTCGATATTTGAATCAAACAGTTCTAAAGAATTAACCACCACTGAATAACATGCATCTGCATCTTCATAAAGAAGAATTCCTGCCATTTCTCGTTCGTGTTTTTCGTCCAGAAAACTCTGAAAAACTGCATAGCACTGTGTTTCTTCGTCGTTTAAATTTCCCTGCCGTTGTACGGCCATCACGAGAGTATGTATTATTTACCACATAGTTGATAGTGCTCTCTAGTCTCACATAATATTAAACACTGTTATTGAACTCATACATTGCAGGATTTCTATGCTTCATTTCGTTTGAAATAGTTGTATTGAAAATTATACATATTACTGTTCTTCAATAGTCAGTTTCAATGAAATTCGCATCTAAATCTAGCTATACTTTTTTAGTCTTTTTAGATATTAAAGTAATTTGTATTTCAAATTTGACCGCCATATTGAATTTAAACGCGCTGGGGGCTTGGGCTCTAAGGGAGCATCAACCTCAGTGCTTCCATTTTCAAGGAAATTTCCTTTTCTAAGGAAATTCTAGTGTCGAAAAGGAAAATCTAAGGAAGAGAAAAAATCTAAGGAAATCTAAGGATTTTTTCCCAACAACTTAAATATTCATCCAAGTGCATTAGTGCA